CCCAGTTCAACTCCTGGGTTGGAAAGATCCCCTGGAGAAGGGATAGGCTACCCACTCCAGTATTCTTGGGCTTCCCTGATGGTTCAGATAGTAAAGAATCTGCTTGCAATGCAAGAGACCTGGGTTTGATTCCTGGGGTGGGAAGATCCCCTGGAGGAGGGCATGGCAATCCACTCCAGTATTCTTGCCTAGAGAATCCCATTGGACAGAGACTGGCCAGTTACAGTCCATAGGGTTGCAAAGAGTCAGACGTGACTGAGTGACTCAGCATAGCACAACTCTTCAGAGGTAGTTGAATCTGTGGATGCAGAACCACACCCATGGAGGGAGAGCCAACAGTAAAGTCATATCCAGATGTGCAACTGCACAGGGTGGGGGCAGCACCTCTAAACCCCCACACTGATCAAGGCTGAAGTGCACAATGACAGGCATATTACAGATATGCCCATTCCAAAAGGGAAAAACTAGGAAAGAAGGGCTGATGGGTCCCTAGCAAGTCCAAATTTAGCAAAGCAAAGTGCATTATGTCTTAAAGCTCAGTAATAACCCTCTTTGGTTTGACACTCTGCCCTCCAGGCCCACAGGGGTGGCAGTGTCGCCTCCACAGCCTGGAGTAAAAGGTGGCCCTTCTCATGCAGCTCTCTGCAGGTGTGGTCCTGTCTCTAAGGCACTGGGCAGATGCATCCTGGTGGCCCTGCCCCCGGGATCTGTGGTAGGAGTGGGAGCCCTGCTATCTGAACAGCTCTTAGCATTCTTCCTTTTTCCTGAACATAAAGCAGGTTCACAGTTGAATAACTGTGTGGTCCTATCCTGTAAAAGCCCCAAACTACAACAGCCTTCATTCCATCCTAATTTGGGGGGTGGGGTCCTCTTTAGTTCCAGCTGGCAGTGTTTCTGTTGATGAAATCCTGTTTCTATTCCTGGCTTCTGTTGATATTGACAATTAAGTCCATAAGTTGTACTAATGATCCATCAAATGATCTTTCGGCCACATCCTAGTATTTGCTTCAGAATAAGGTTCTCTCTTTTTGCAGAAGGCTCAGAATTTTCCAAATCTCCTAGTTCCTTTTTATTTAAAGTTTCTTTTTCAATTCATCTTGCTTCTCTTACATTTTACTATAAATAGTAAGGACTACCCACGGCACACCTTCAATACTTTGCTTAGAAATCTCCTCTGCTAAATATCCAATCATCACTCACACTTCTAACTTTTACAAAACACTGGGACACAACTGAGCCAAGTTTTTTTGGATGCTTTACAAGTTTCTCTTTGCTCCAATTTCCAATATCCTTTCTCTCATTTCTACTTGAGAACTCACTGGAATGGCCTTTATCATTCATATTTCTACCAACATTCTAAGACTATTCATGTATTTCTGTAAGATGGAAGTTTTGTCTCCTGTTTGCCTCTTTTCTTTCTGAGCCCTCACCAAAAACACCGTTAATGTCCTCATATCTATCAACAGTTTCTTCATAGTAATCTCAACCTTTTCTAGCACATGCCTCAAAACTCTTTCAGCCTTTACCCATCACACAATTCCAAAGTCACTTTCACATTTTTGGTATTTGTTACAGCAGTACTCTACCCTAGAACCAAAATATATAGGTACTTCTTGGGGCTCTCCAGAGAAACAGAACCAGAAATTTATAAAAAGGAACAGATTCATGCAATTATAGAGGCTGAGAAGTCCCAAGATCTGCAGTCAACAACCAGAAACCCAAGAGAACTGACGGTATAAATTCCAGTGTGAAAGCTGGCAAGTTCAAGACCCCAAAAGAGCCAATGCTTCAGTTCAAGCCCAAAAGCAGAAAAGATCAAAGTCCCAGCTGAAGGGAACACTGAAGTTCCCTCTTGCGCAAGGAAAGGTCAATCTTTTTTTCTATTCAGGTCTTCAACTCTTTAGGGAAGGCAATCTGCTTCATTCAGTAAAATTGATTCAAATGTTAATTTCATCACCATCAACAACAGCCAAAAACCCAACCCTCTCAGAAGCACCCAGAATAATGTTTGACCATATACCTGGGCACCTTGTGGCCAGGTTGACACATAAAATCAGTCATTAACACTGACTATTTTTTGGTCTCTGGAAGTAAAAGATGAACAAAGTTTCTACTGGTATGGAGCTTATGTCCTAAATAAATCATTTCAAACACTTGTGCTAAGAATGTGGACCAAGGAAACAGACAGAAGTGTGAGAAAGGAGGTGGGGGTGGGTAGAGACATTTATAGGAAGTGGAGCAATCCTGAAAGTCTAAGAGCTAGAGAATGAAATTGGAGTTACACTTCGGGAAGAGTAATCTAGTATCAAACTGCAAAGTGGCACCTGGGAGAGGTACTGCAAACAGGGACGCTAATACAGCACACAGGAAAGATGAAGGTAATGGGAAAAAATAGAGGAAGAAGGGAAGAAACTATTTATTGAGCATATACTATGTGTCAGACATCCTTTTAAGTGTTTTCACATATTTGAGCTGGAAGTGGCAAAGAGCACAGAGGAAGAAAAATATCAGAAAGATACTACCAACAATCAGCAGACAAATGTCTAAGGTTTCAAGTATGAGTAACCAGTAAGACAACAGAGAGTTCCTTTAATCTAGCAAGAAAGTATCTGTTCACATACATAAAACTTCAATTTTTTTAAAAAGTAACATAATTCTTTTACTTCTCTCCTTTAAAATTTAGAGAAACAGAGAACTAAGCATTGAATGTCTACTATCTTGCAACAAACATTACACTAAAAAGACCTTAAATACCATCTAATTAAATCTTTAACATATAACCTGTTTTCAGTATTTCACAGCTTAGAAATGCATGCATCAGTTCAGTGAGGTCACAAAGGTAGCGACACTTCTACTCAGTTTCACATTATATTCAATTAGGAAATGGAGAAAATGGGAGGAAAGAGATGAATAGGCTAGGGAGTGGAAATTACATGTTTAACAAGGTAAAAAATAACAAGGACAAATTCATTTACTGATGCCAATCTTAAAAATAAAACCAACTCTTTAGATAAATAACAGCTACTTAAATAAAATGTTTCAATGTTAACACTGTCTTTGGAGGGAACCCGGGGGCTGTGAAACCAGGTAGAAAGGAGACTTAACAGTTACTTTTGTAACTTTTGATTGCAACTATAACAAATCACTGCCTATTTCGATAAATAAGTTTCCTTTAAAAACTTTAAATGTTTTAGTTCCTACCAATAATTTGTAATTATTAGCATTCTACAAACCCCTGAGGCTGCAGAAAAATTGAAATTTCAAGAAAGAGAGAGTCTAACTTTGTTCTGAAAAGGCTAGGGAAACATTACATTAAGGGACCAAGGACTTGCCTTGGGGGTTGGGAATCAGGAAGTGAGAGAAGTCACGGCCTGCAACAATCACTATTTGATCAGTTCTACTGCTGTTATTTTTAGCTCATCTTTTTAGCCTGTTGCTAAGGAACTCTACGGCCTGAAAGCAGTGTACCAATAGGAACCTATATGAAGCAAGAGAAAAGCAATTATCCTGACTTTCAAATTAGGCCATTCAGTCTATTTTGGTACCATTTAATAAATTATTTCCTTTCAATCTTTATGCAGCCGCTCTTGTCTGCACATGCATATTTTCGCTGTGTCGAAAATCGTCGGTTGTACCCAAAAGCAAAATCTTCATTTGTAAATTATTATTATGAGGGTCTGCAGATCAGCATACCTGAAATGGAGAGCCATAGTTCTGGACTCTGATTTTCTATTAATATTTGTCTTTTATTCTCTCAAATACTTTGAATTCTAAACTTCTTGCAAGGAAAATTTTTGTATTTTAAGAAATGTGGTGCAGGACACGGTGACAGGACTTGACAAAGCTATTAGACACACAAAGCTGAAATTTCTACTTGGGAACATAGCATGACAGTGGGTGGATCAGAGCACTGGGGAGGGCGCGGAGGCTCCCAAGAGCGAGGTGTGGGCTGGGGTGTCAAGTGAAATCCGGTATGACACAAATACGTACAAGAAAGATGGGCACTCTGGGTCTTCTCATTTCTACCCACTCACTTCGAGAACCTCGTAACACCCAGACGTCATCGCTCTCGTAATTGGTGCAGAAGGTAAGTCGCAGGGACCCCGTTCAAGCTGTTTCAACTGGAACCAACCTAGATCTCCACCGAGTCTCATTTCTGCCACCCGCCGTTGCCCTCAATAACCTCAAATTCTTCCAGACTAAAATCTGACCATGGTAGAGCTAAGACCGGTGATATCGGGCTATCTTCAGTTTTTGGCTTTCCTCCCACATTTTTAAAAGTCCTTCCAACCCTATGGTTTCCCGGGACACGCGCACAGACAGCCGAGCTAACGGCCGCCGGGCTCTAGGCAGCGCCAACGTGGCGGTAACGGGAAAACGAAGGGTCCAAAGTCCACCAATGAACTAGGCAGCTCGGCCTATGCCCCGCCCACCACTCCTGCCAGCCAATAATCTTCAAAACTCCTGTGTTACTCCCGCCCATTTTTAGCGCAGCTTAAGAGCCTGAAGCTTCCTCTGCTCACCCGAGCACTTTAACCCGCTGTTTATGCGCCCTTCCTCCGCTTCGCTAGCTCAGAGGGCCCTCGGCCCTTCGTTACTGAAGGCGTAGGGAGCGGCATCGGCTATCACCGGAGGCCCCGGACCCCAGACGTTAGTCTTACGATCAGCAGCGGTACGAAAGGAAAAAAAAAAAAAAGGACTGCCTGGGACGTTCACATCACGCCCAGTTTACCTTGACCCGGAAGTGATTTTCCACTCCTCTTTTCTCCCTGCCCCCCGCCCTCCCTTTTTGAGAAGGGAAAAAGGACAGCTAGCTCTGGCCCGGCATGCCTTGGGCTTCCGGTGACCTCTGGCCCTTTTCTGTCGTCCGCTCTTGCTCCCTAGCGTGCTTGTTCGCTCACTGCTTTCCTTCCCTCCCTCCCTCCCGTTTTCCTTGGGACGCTACCTGGTGACTGTGGCTCCCGCGACCAGCAAGGAGGCGGTGGCGGAGGACACTCGTTATGGCCGCCTCTAAGCCTGTGGAGGCGGCAGTGGTCGCAGCGTCTGGACCCGGTTCCGGGAGTGGGGTGGGCGGCAGCAGTGCGACTTCGGGCCCGGGCACCGGGGGCCTGCCGAGATGGCAGCTGGCGCTAGCGGTCGGGGCGCCCCTGCTGCTAGGAGCGGGTGCCCTGTACCTGTGGAGCCGGCAGCGGCGGCGCCGGGATACCGGGGCCCGAGGCGACTCCGGCGGCCTGAAGCGTAACAGTGAACGGAAGACCCCGGAGGGCAGGGCCAGTCCGGCCCCGGGCAGCGGACACCCTGATGGCCCCGGTACTCACCTGGAAATGGTGAGAAGCAGCCCCGGGCATGGAGGTAGAACCCGGCGGGTGCAGCCTTTCCTTGACGGGGTTGTGCCCCTCAGGGGGCTTCCCATCAGATTGAAGCTGCCAGGCGGCCGCGCATGGGTTTAGGGAATGCCGTTATAGGGAATGGAGTAGCCCGAGGGCACAGGCTAGCAACATTCGTTGACAGTTTCCTTTTGGTTTCAGAAAAATATTTGCTTTTCTTCTCAGTGACACAGCGTTTATCTCTATCGTTGTGGGTAAGGGGTCGTTTGCTAATGTGATGATTGTCTTTAACTAGTGAAGGAAGCTAAATTCCCTTAACGATCGGTACATTGTGATATGAATTGCCCTGATCATTTCTAAGGCCTAAGACTTAATCAGTAATAATCTTTTAACAACCAATGACTCCCTGGGTTGGGGAGTAAATATAGTGACTTGGTGGACAAGAGTGAAATGGTGTTCAGAGGCATTTATTTCATCTGTGGGAATGAGTTCTTAAACTTGGGGTAGAAGCATCTTAAATTTTTTTTTTTTTAATTTTACCTGGCAACTTAACATGACCAAGCCTGACTGCGTGATAACGGATTCTCTGACGTTAAGCCAAGCCAAGTGCCTGATAAACTGCTTTGTATGGTTTTGTTGGAACTATTAAATCCTTCTGGTATCTGACAGCTGTTGGGGGAGGTGGGACAGAGTGGAATTGGCCTGGCTGCATTTAACAATACAGGAGTGAGCTGAGGGGGTTGGGGAGGATTTTTCTGAGTCTGAGATTGTATAATGGCAGTTACAGAGTGAATCAGTTCAGAGGAAACTTTGGTCAGAAAACTCCCAGTTAAATATATTTTCAAGTTGTTTCCATATTATACTATCTTCTCCAGAGGATCTTCCCAACCCACGAATCGAACCGGGGTCTCCTGCATTGCATTCGAATTCTTTACCAGCTGAGCTATCAGGGAAGCTCCTGATAAGCAGTCAATTTTAAAGGAAGTTCTGATGTGGAAGCAAACTACCTTAGTTTAGTGTATTCTATATATTAGGCATTGTGCTAGGCCCTTAGAGAACCAAATAGTCTTTCTAAGGGGAAAGTAACATACTGCTTTTTAAAAAAAAGTATAGCAAAGATGCAGTACGACTATGCTGGAAAAAACCTATGGACTGTGAGAACCAGGAAATGTGTGTTTTATATTGGGGTCTCCAGCAGTTAAAAGTTGTTTTATCTCTCTGATGTTAGTGTCATCCCTGTAAGAGAAGAGAATTAAAATATTGGATCCCTTTTATTTCAGTCCTGGGAGTGGTGATCATGGCACCATGAATTTGTCATCATTTGTCTTGTTTTCATGTTTCTGAAATCCTCTGGCCATTTGCTATTTTGTTTTCAAACACGGGAGAACAGTGGATGAATAAAAACACATAAAAGTTCTCAGTTCTGTGTGCTGTGCTGTGCTAAGTTGTGTCAGTCGTGTCTGACTCTCTGCGACCCCATGGACTGTAGCTCGCCAGGCTCCTCTGTCCATGGGGATTCTCCAGCCAAGAATACTGGAGTGGGTTGCCATGCCCTCCTCCAAATCACCAAAAATGGTTTCTATTAAAAAAAAAAAAAAAGCTAGGGTTTGATATTGCAGTTTCAAAAATGACCTACTCCACCTCACCTTTATGGCATTTGATAGGATTTAGCATACTGTCAGATTTTAGATTTCCTTAAGCCCCATTTTCAGTTTTTCAGCATTGTCTAGGTCATCACTGTGATAATTTTTAAATTTCATGGCGTTTTGTAGTTTTACCAGAACAATTTTTTAGTTCATGTCATTGCTGCTAAAAATTAAACTTCAATATTGACTTCTTTGTATAACTTGAACTGCTTTAGAATGATTACTTCTGACCCAAAATAAAACTGAGCAAAACACTTGCACATACTGTTCTTGTGGAATTTATGAAGTTGTACCTATAATCTTACTTTGAGTTACTAGATGATACTTTAGTAAAGCAACAGTAAAAATGTCTTTGCCATTTTTTTTGATGGAAATTTGTATTGTAACTGATGGTGATCAATGTATACTGAAAGACTGTTCATTTTTTATAGCCTGGTCCTTAGAGTTATTATTAGACTATTTGACCACAAATGGTAATTTATTATTATCTGTGGTTGGAGAAATTGTTTTATATTTGAATAGCACCTTTAAATTGTCAACCTCAGTGGGCTTTGTATATAAAAAAACATTTGTTTGAACTGATGGGAAAACTGGCAGAATCCTGATGCTCAATTCTTTTCCATCTAATCAATAGTTGTAGTTTTTAAGGGAATGCAGGAATGGACAAATATTGTCAGTTTAGGGCTCAGTATCAGTGAGCAGAATGGAAAATCAGTGGTTATTGTTTGTTGGCTTATGTTTGCCTTAATGTAAAACTGAACTAATTACTGGGCTCCTGTCTATTGGGTTTGTGATACTCATGTACAAACAGACTATTCCAAATTGGCTTTTTCTGGGATAGCAAATACTTGTAAAGCAAAAAATTCATATTTTGTTTAATTAATGGGATTTCAGGATTTCACCAAAGGAAGGCATCTAATCATAGTTGATAGTGTGAGACAGAGGTAAAGTATTAAATCATTTTCCACTTTGGGACATTATAAAATCTACCATGATGTGCATTTTGTGTCAGTGATTCATTTTGAAAACTTGAGAATTAACAGATTTTTCAGAGTTCATAAGGTTCTTTGTGAATCATCTAATCCACAGGACTTCTCAATCTCTGGGCCTGAGTTATCACAGGGCAGCATCATATTCAGATATACACCAGCTATGGTATCTGACTGCACAAATGTCTTATATATTTCTTTTTTCAAACAACTTTTGAATTTTTAAAATGTGCATTTATTTACTACTGACTTTATAATAGTGTTTTATCCAATTGTTGTTCATTTGATTACTTAAAAAAGCAGTTATCCCAGTTCAAGGTTTTTTTAATGTTGCACAAGAGTGAAATGATGAAATGTTTAGAAACCACTAATCTAAGTCAATCCTTTAAAATAGAAAGGGAGAGGTGTGTGTAAACATTTTAATAAAGAGGTCAGAAACTGATAACCTGCTGTTATCAGTCATGGTTGAAATTAAATAATTCCTACGCCAGCTCCAATGATCTGTTTCTAATCTTTTTTTTTTTTTAATCAGGATCACCAGTGACATAAGACCAGTGAACACCTTTCACTCTTCATCTTACTTGATCCTTCAGAGTATTTCACATTATTTTCTCTTAATTTTGTGATTTTTCTTTTGGTTTCCGAGACATTATGTTCTCTGATTTTAGTTGGTTACTTTCGTGGTTCTATCCCAGGCTTTCTTAATGTTCCATACCTTCCCTGGATGCTTATTTGCCCTCCAGAAGCTTCACTTAACACTTACATAATGATGACCCCCTAATTTCTTGTTTATAGCCCAGACCTCTCAAAAGACCCAAATTTAAAGGAAATCTTCACCTTGTTACCTTTTAAATGTTTAACATCAGATTCTCTTGAGAATATTCCTTATTAATGTGGTTCATCTAACTAGTTTTCCAAGCCAGAAGCTTGTATATCTATCTTCCCCAACTTTCTATTCTTTTCATGTTCTCCACATCCAACCTAGAAAAATATCCAGAACATTCTAGTTCTTAAGTATCTGACTACTGTTCCATTCCCACTGCTATTATATCTTGACTGAATAACTGATGCTCTTTATTGTCTTCCTCCAATCCATTTTGTCACTAATAGAGTAAATGCTAACAGTTCCATGCTTAAAACTGTTAAGTGGTATTTTTTGCATTGCTCACAGGTAAGTTCAAATTCATCGTGATTTAAGACTCTATATGGTCTTGTTCTCACTCATCTCTTATCTTCATTTCTTGCACTTCCTCTTGTTTCTTGCCTTTGGATGTTCTGTAACACTGTCCATTATGCCTACCTTCTTGTCCCTCAAGTCACAATATGTAGGTCATTTCACCTTTTCTGAAACCCTTTTATACCTAAGCATACTGTTGTGTGATTGATTACATCACACTCTGAACTTTTCCTTAGCACTGGAGTACTAGAGTCATTTATTCATGTTGCTACTAAACACATGAATCTGTGAAGACTGGGACTTGCTCTGTCTTTATCATTTTTCAGAACTGGCACTTAGAAGATGTGAGGAAATGAACCAGTGAAGCTTCATTATTTGACATTTTTTTTTAAAATTCACACAAATTGAATATTTTTTCAAAATTTCCAGATTTTTGTTTGTATTCTATCTTGGGGAAATTTCTGTTAACAGTCTTAAGCCTCGTTTAGGCATTCTTTTTATAAATTGCTTGATTTTGTATGAGCTCAAGCCATAATCCTGCAGAGGTAGCACCCTTACAAGTGAAAGTGAACGTCACTCAGTCATGCCTGATTTTTTACCACCGCATGGACTATAGCCCACCTGGTTCCTCTGTCGGAATTCTCCAGGCAGGAATGCTGGAATGGGTAGTCATTTGCTTCTCCCAGGGATTTTTCCCAACTCAGGGATTGAACCCAGGTCTCTTGCAGGCAGATTCTTTACCATCTGAGCCCCATGGGAAGCCCTTCTTACAAGTATATTCTTCTTGAAGAGTTCTCTGTATTATGATTTAGTAAGTGGGCTTGTAGATTTGTTACATTTCAGGACATAATCTAGGAAAGAACTTTCTTGTTATCTTTAGGTATCTTTTATCTTAAACTTGATTTTTATAAAAGTAGCAATTGGTCAATAAAGTATTGAAAGATTGTTTCTTATGTGGTAAGTGTTCCAGACTTGATTGCTACTTTTGTAAAGCTATGTAAAGTGTTACGTAAAGTTTCATAATCACTGTGTTTTGTGACATAGTAGAAGGCTGGTGTTGATTGATAAGCTCACATTTTGTCCTAAATTTTATCATTGGGCCAAAATAATTAGCTTTTCTGTATTGTCCCTGTGGTAATGCCATTCTTTTCATTTTTATTGATGAAGGGAAGCAGTTAGAAAGTAATGTGGCTGTGGAGGGAGTGTGGTGAGCAGAAGGTGACAGTGAGGTTCACTGAGACGTTGCTTTTCTCAGATGTGGTTTGGTTGCCTTCTGGAGTGACAGTGGATGAAAATTTGCAGTTTGGTGATTTGCTTGTGTAATTTGATCCTTGTCCACTCTGGCATTTTTTCCCCCCTAGTACAGTAAGGAAAGGAAATTAAGCACATTCTGATTTTGATCCTAGGAGACAGAAAATCTACAATAATTTTTAAAGGGAATCTATTGTAAAACTTGACTAAATGGAGGGAACTGGTAAGTGAAAGAAGTAAACAGTCCATAAGTGTTCTTGAATGTTTATGTTCAAAATGTCTTGGTTGGTTTTAGGTTGATTTAGACTTTGCTGTCAGGGATTCCCTGATAGCTCAGTTGGTAAAGAATTCGCCTGCAATGCAGGGTCTCCTGCATTCCTGAGTTGGGAAGGTCCCCTGGAGAAGGGCTAGGCTACCCACTCCAGTATTCTTGGGCTTCCCTTGTGGCTCAGCTGGTAAAGAATCTGTCTGCAATGTGGGAGACCTGGGTTTGATCCCTGGGTTGGGAAGATCCCCTGGAGAAGGGAAAGGCTACCCAGTCGAGTATTCTGGCCTGGAGAATTCCATCGGACTGCATACAGCCCATGGGGTCACAAAGAGTCAGACACAGCTGAGCGACTTAAACAAACTGCTGAAATAAAAATAAGAAGCACCCATCTTTCTAAGGAGAGGAAGCCTTGTATACCTGTCCATATTTCTCTCTATTCTTTCAACTTCTCTGCACTCACATGACTACCTCCCCTTGTATTCTGTGTGACATCCTTTATGCGGCTTTAAACTTCCAGTGGGCAGGAAAGAGTTCACTGCCTGTTTGTGCTGATGAAACAGTCATTACTCTGACCCAAGAAAGTTCTTTTTTAATCCTCAAATCTTTAGTAAAAATAATATATAGTCAAACATACTTCTCACAGGCATTTAATATAGCAGCTTATTTTCTATGTCAGCAGTCCCCAGTGTATTAGGTTGTATATTAGCCATGTTCTCAATGACTTAGAAACATTGTAAACTTTTTATAAGAAATTGAAATAGTGTTTATCTTGTTGTATGTAACATCAAAAGTAATTGAGTTTCATTATTTTGAAGTTTTTTTGGAGCACATAAAAGTTTGTGGTCATGATCTTTTCTTGGCAGATTGTACCTTGTATCAGTAAAACTGCCCTTCTGTGCTCCATCCCTGGCATTTGAATGGTATTTTGTCTGATACTGCCTTTTTTTTTTTTTTGCGAGAACTTGTATTCTGTAACTTTTTTAGGTTCTTTTTTGACCTGTCATTTTGTTTTAGCTCATGCCTGTAGGTAGCATGTAGTTTTTTTTTTTAATTTTAAATAGGTTATTTTTAATAGGGAGATTTAAGCTACTCACATTTATTGTTGTTATTGACATGTTTGGTGATTCTTGCCATATTTACTCCACCTTTTTGTTTCTTCCTTTATCCTCCCCTTCCTGCTTTTTTGTTTTATTGATCATCTCCCCCACTTTGGAGTACAGTTTTAGTGGTAAGGAAGTTGTACACCTCAGTTTCTGTTCTTGTGTTAAACCTTAAATGCTAATTTAGCTAGGTATAAGATTTTAAGTTCAAGATAATCTTTCTTCAGAACTTTGAAGTTGTTGCTCCATTGTTTCTTAATACATAATGTCGGTGATAGTCTGACCCCAGTTTGGTTCATTTTTCTTTGTAGGTAATCTGTGTGTGTGTGTGTCTGTGTGTGTATACATATAATTTTTTTCTACCTGAAAACTTTAAGGGTTTTTGCTGAAATTTGCATGAAATTTCACCATGATATATCTAAAAATGTGTGTCAGGAATTTTTCTGATATTTTCTTAAGACACTCCTTTCTATGCTTTTCCTTCTAACATAGATAGAGAGATGTTGGAACTTCGGGATTTATACTCCATATCATCTGATTTTTTCCCACACTTCTCATCTCCCTGCCCTCTATTCTTCTTGCATTCTGGCAGATTCACTTGCCTCTGCCTGCTTGTTTGTCCTCGGTTATGTCCATTCTAATATACAGTCCATCTATTTTTATCATAATTCTTTTTAATTTTTAAGATGTCTAATTGGTGCTCTTTAAAAGTAGCCTTTTTTTAAATGAGTGTGGTTACCTCTCATTCCTCTGATGTTAAATTTTCTGTTTGCTTTGTTTATCCTGCTTCCTCACATGCTAGTTTTTTAAATATGAGTGGGGTGCCTCTCTTTTGTGGTATTAATGTTCCTTTATGTTAGCAACTCTTGACAGTATGGTTTCTTGGAAGACAGACATAGTGTGTTTGTCACTGGTCTTTCTGGTGGAGGGGCCCCTCACTCCTTCTGGATGATGCATCCCTCCTCCAGTCTGACTTCTGTTTCTCTAGTGGAATGGGAGGATTGATGAGGTTGCTCCAAGTGCAATTTTCCAGCAACTGGAAACCACAACTACATTAGAAAGTCCTAGTTGTCTTCTATTATGAATGTGCCAAGGATTTTTTTTTACTGTCAAAACTTTTGCAAGATGGTGAAGGCTCTTTACAGGTAGATTTCATGTTCATGTGTTACTCTGTGTCTTTTTTGCCCCCTTTCATCCTTCTGCATCTCATTTTAAAATATGCACGTATCTTAATTGGCTTCTCTGGTGGTTCAGCTGATAAAGAATCCGTCTGCAATCCGGGAGACCTGGGTTCAATCCCTGGGTTAGGAAGATTCTCTGGAGAAGGAAAATGCTACCCACTCCAGTATTCTGGCCTGAAGAATTCCATGGACTGTATAGTCCATGGGGTCACAAAAAGTTGGACACAACTGAGCAACTTTCACTTCATTTCACTTACTGACACTAGCTAGCTTAAACTAGCTGTTTAATATTCTGAACTTAGAGTTCCCTACACATCCTTCTTTGCACACTATACTTTTGAAAAACTAACTGTAGTTTCATTTAGACTAAAGGAGAAGGGAAACAAAAGGTAAATGGAAGAAAAAAGTAGCAAAAAAAAAATGAAGCATGAGTAAGGGAAAGATAACAGATGCAAAAGCTTACTCTCCTCCCATCATCTCTTCATGACCGAGATGCCCTAGGTCCCAAGCAGCTTATCCTTCACAGGGGCTCTGTGAGTTCATTGTAGGGGCAACTGCTTCTGCTTTTGCTTTGTCAGTGTTTACCTGTTGGAAATACATGAGTTCTTTCATAATCACATATTTGTTAAAGTTGAATGATGTTGACAAATTTTGGGGTGAAGATATGCCACAGAGCCCTTGGACCTAGTAGCTTGAACCTGAATGACTGGATTTATCTACAAAGATGCTTCTCAGATGTTGACTGAAGCTTTGCAACTGTCCTCAGTGGCTACTAACTACCAACTCATGAAGTATGTGAATTGGGTCCTCTAGGAAGCAGATTCTGAGACAAAGATAGGAGTGCCAAAACTTTATTCATTTGCAAACAATAGATTTGGGATAACAGTTGTAATGAGGATGGCAAAGTGTTTCTAGTGTCTGTTCTACACTGTTGACCAACAACCTAATTGAAAAACACCAGTACATGTGATTAAATGGTTTTCAGAATGAAAAAGTCAAATAGCCAATAAACACGAACAGATTTTCAAATTCATTTATAGTGGAGAAAATGTGAAATAAAATAATATCAGAATATTATGTTACACTGGGTTTTGGCAATTTTGGCATTATTGACATTTTGGATCTGATTAGTTGTACATCGTAGAATGTTAGCAGCATTCTAGTATCTGCCTACTAGATACCAGGGGCATCTCCCCTGACCCCTAGGTGTGAAAATCCAAAATGTTTTTAGACATTGTGAAATGTACTCTAGAGGGAAAACCATCCCTGACTGAGAACCACAGTTTTATGCCCATTAGACTGGTTATGAAAACTCTTCCTAGCAGAGTTTGGTGGAAAAGTGGTATACCTTAAAGCAATACAGCCTTTTGGCGGGGAAGAGTGTGAGTGTTTTTCAGGTTAAAGATTTATAAAATTTTTGACTTAGCAGTCCTATTAAAGACTCTGTGTCCCATGAAGATACAAGTGTGAGTGATTTGCATTGTGAACACCCATTCTGCCCTTCCATTGTTTTCTTCAGTATGTCATTTGGTCACTGTGATCTGAATCTGTTACTGCGTATTGATAAGTGTTTCATAATTGTTCCCTTGTGTTTCAGAACTCTCTTGATAGAGCCCAAGCAGCCAAGAACAAAGGCAACAAATACTTTAAAGCAGGAAAATATGAACAAGCTATTCAGTGCTATACCGAGGCTATCAGTTTATGTCCTACAGAGAAGAATGTTGACCTTTCCACATTTTATCAAAACAGAGCTGCTGCCTTTGAGCAATTGGTATGTATCGTAGGTTGGTTTTTCTTCTTTTTGTTTCTCTTTATTTGCATAATGTTTCAGCTAATGCCACTCAGATATATCTAATACACTTTTTGAAGTTGTTTTGAAATTATAGGGGTTTGGTTTTGTTTTTATATCCTTTAATTACATAGATTTTTAAGAACAAATTTTAGTTTTGCTCGTTCCACATATAATCCAAAGTTGTATATATCAAATTTTATAAAATTAGATAATAAAGAAAGTTAAAGTTTCTGGTGACCCCATTCTCCTCAGCAGTTTAAGTCTATTTCTTCAACTTTTGCCTCCATATATGTAATAGTAGCATATGTGGGGGGAAAAAAGACCAAAAGATTTAATTCCCATTATATTGTTTGCAGTGTATTTTTCCAGTTGCCACTGTATCTGGTACAACTTTTTGTAGCACACACAGCTCTGTTTCATTCTTTTTAAAGCCTATAGGTAGTTACTGTTATATAGCTGTATGGTGGAAAACATCTCCCTATTGATGAACATTTGAATTACTTCCTCTTTTCCCTGTTGCATTCAGTGTTGCGGTAAATATTTTTTAAATACTTTTTTGGGCATACTTTTCTGAGAATAAAATTCAGAAATGGAATTATAAAGAGATAGTATTAGTACCTATTCTAATAATAATATTTGAGCATGCTTGTTTTCTAGTATCTCGCTGTGTGAATTGTCAGTCTTAAGATTTGCCACTCTAGTAAAAGAAAAATACTGTCTCCTCATTTTAATTTGCACTTTTTGAGATGTTGGTGAAGTGGACCATCTTCTTCTATGTTTATTGGTCATCTGTAGTCTCTGCATTTTTTGTTCAACCGTGTTTTGTTGACTGTTATATACGGAAGGTTACTGTAGTGGGAGCGGGGTCTGTAAAAGCAGACAGTTATGCATAGAGCTCAAAGATCACTCAACGGTGAACTGTTAAATGACATTTGAATAAGCCTTTGATTCTCTAATAGAGGAATGATTGAGGTTGGTGTATCAAATAGTGGAGAATAGAGTGTTACAAATGGAGAAACCAGTGTATGTAATTGCTTCTGAGGCAGAAAAGAGTTTGCCGTGATTAAAGAAGTGTGGATAAAGGATCCTGGGATATAGAGAGATTAAATTGGAGAGGTAGCAGAGGCCAGATCAGGCAAAGCCTTGAAATGGTGAGAAGTTTGGATTTGATTCTGAGTGTAGTGGGAAGTATTTAAGGATTTTTAATAGGGCAGGAGCATCATCTAAAATTGTTCTCACTGTTCTGTCAGTATATTGGAGGGAGGCAAGAGTGGAGGCAGGGGGAACTGAGGAAGGATGTTGTAGTTGCCTAGGTGAGACATGAGGGAAAGTTGAAAACCAATAGAATTTGCTATTGTATTGGATGTGAAGGGTGAAGAGAAGCAGGAGTTTTAATAATAGTGGAGTGAGGAATGATTGAGACAGCTAAGCAGATGGTTGAATTGAGAAATGTCTGTATTTTAGGAGAGTGATTTGGGTTAAAGAGATAAATTTGGGAGTCCTCTAATTTTAGATGTTATAGAACCATAGACGTGATTACCTCGGAGAAGGGATGCGTCCTTGAGCATTCCAGCAGAAATCAGATAGGGGGGAGAAGTCAGCTACAGAAACTGGGAAGGAGCAGCCAGTGGAAGTAGGTGGAAATTAAGCAGAGTGGCTGCTCGTTGGAGGTCTGGCAATAATGAGGGCTGAGAAATGGGGTAGTAACTGTAGGGAATTACAGAATCAAAGGAGGGTTTTTAAAAGATGGGAGATACTAAAGCAAGTGTTTTTATGGTAATAGGAATGATTCAGTAGAGAAGCAGATTGATGCAGAGGCAGGAGAGCTAACAGTGAAGTCCTTGACGTGGGGGGAGTGTGCATCCTACTGCAAGTAGAGGGTTGGCCTTTGATGAAGAGGGGTGCTTCCTCAGTTTTAAAAAGAGGGAAGAAGGAGATGATATAATCACATAGATGCAGGTAGGTTATAGATGTGGTAGTAGAAAGATGGCTTATGTCCTTTACCTATTTTTAAAAATCAGATTGCTTATTTTTATTGCAGTTATTTGTATGAAGCTATTATAATGTGTTGTGGATATTAACTCTTTGTATGAATTGGGAATACATTTTCTATTGTGGGACCTTAATACTCAGCTTGCTGAGTTTAGAAAACTGATTTCTGTTGAACAGTGCTTCCTTCAGTGTGACTTTTTTTTTGTTTTTTAATACTTTCGATTACAGCAAAAATGGAAAGAGGTGGCACAAGATTGTACAAAGGCTGTTGAACTTAATCCCAAATATGTGAAAGCTCTCTTTAGACGTGCAAAAGCCCACGAGAAGCTAGACAATAAGAAGGAATGTTTAGAAGGTGAGGGTATTTTTGTGTTTACATGTAAAATTACTAAAGGTTTTGTAGTCACTGGTAAATTTATATGCAACTCTGCCTATGAGTAGAGAAATCAGTTGTGTTTAAAAGTTTGACTCTTCCCCAATTGAAACTTTGTTCTATAGTTTCAATTGACATTGCTGATACTTGAGTACCATCTCTGTTCCCAACTATGGAATTAAATGATTTAAAGTTTATATGCTGCACATTTTAAACTTGGCAACAGCATTAATGTAATTTCATGAATAAGAAATCAGAAGAGAGGTTTAGTTGAGTGTTACTAAGATTCTGCATATTTTCAATTAATATCCTATATCAATATGAAACAATTTTGAGATGAATCATTAAAGAAAACATTTGTTTTTTGCCCTTGTTATCTTCAAACATTATCCTTTACTCAATTAGAAATTTTGTGATTGATACAAGGCATCAAGTTAATTTGCTGTTCTCAGTAAATATCATAAATATTCCTTAGCCTCTTACTAGCCATATCTGTTGCTAAAACTTCAGTTAGGGTATTGGCCACTGACCTACAAAGTACATTGTTCCAGTTGATGTAGAGCTAACCCAAAATGCATATTCCACAGTCTAAAAGTGTTTTCCTGCTACATATTTAAATCTGCTTTAAAAGCATCAATAATCAGAAATTTAGCCATAATTATTTTTTTTAATAATATCATTATTTAAAAGGAGAAAGCTATTTTATTTTTTAAAATATGGGTTACCAGTTGAGAGTGGTTTTAGAGAACATTTTAGAAAAAACTTGAGGTTTGGCGGTATCATATACTCTGGTGATGGGTAGGAGGAGTGTTGCTTTTTGAAAAAGAGATTTCTGAGTTTTGAACCAGACCTTGAAGTTATTAAGAGCTAATCATAGAGAGGTGTTTAAATGGGTTCTAGATGGAGAAATGGGATGGGGAAAAGACATTGACATTGGCAGTAGCGTATCAGGGGAACATGCAGTAGATTGACTTGTTTGGAGGAGCATGGGTTTGCAATTGTGAGAAATTGAGTTCAAAAAGAGAGGGACTGTCTTGTTGACTACTTTGAATGAAAGGTTGGGAGGTTAAAGAAACATTGATCTTTTTCATTTCAAACCACTATATATTGAGTTATAGCATAGCCAGGTTAAAATGATATTTTGAAGCAGATTTCAGTGAGAGCTCTGTGACAAGATGGCTTTGGAGACAAGGAGTAACCCTGAGGCCTATAAAATAAAAGTAAGACCAGACGTGAGAGAGCCACATTATTACTTGGCCTATGCTTACTGTCCAGAAGAAAATATTCCTAGGTTACTTGTTTTATTTGCTGTGTACAATGTTAGAACAGTGAGAGACGTCACAGATCATGTAGCATAGTCCCTTTCCTTTCACAGCTGAGGAAATGGAGTTCTGGAGAAGCAGAGTGACTTTCTGAGCTTTGAGTTTGATTGTAAAGTATGTAAAACCAAAGTGTTAAGAATAAATTTACTGAAAATGATAGCCACATAAAGCTATGAATGTAGTTTGGCTTTCTGTGGTAACACTGAGCCCATTTGATGCTGCTAGTCATCTTTGCAATAATTTTCATACTCTTATTTTTTTGCATCATTTCTAGATGTCACTGCTGTGTGTATATTAGAAGGATTCCAAAATCAACAAAGCATGCTGTTAGCTGATAAAGTTCTTAAACTTCTTGGAAAAGAGAAAGCCAAAGAAAAATATAAGGTAAGTTAACCTGCATTGGTTAATAATAGAGGAAATATGCATTGTGAAGGGTCATTACTAATTTATACTGCTTAAATTTGGGCATAATGGTAATGACTGAAATTAGATCTGGATTATATTTATTTTTCCTATAATATTGGGCGTATGTGGCCTTTTAAAATAAGAATGTGAACTTTGTCTGGATTGTACCTAGAGAATATTAAAAGAATTCACGTATATTAGGGGTTTCCAAACAATGGCCTACAGGCCAAATCCACTCCGCCACCTGTTTTATAAATGTGCCAGTAATGTTTTATTGGAACTCAGCCACTCACACATTGCTTTTGGCTGCTTTTAAACTACGACAGCAGAGCTGAGTGGTTGTGACACTATATGGCATACAAAACCTAAAATATTTACTATCTGGCCTTCTACAGAAAAAATTGCCAACTCTTGCTTTTTAAAGTTTTTAAAGGTATGCTGTATAAACTGGCACTGGTCTTACACAATTAGTAGATGGTTTAATTTACTGTGTGATTATAAGGGTTCTTGACATTTTACATCTTCAGAGAAGAGAAAGGCTGTCATTCAAAACGTTTTTTGAAAAGCTGGGACCGGCAGCATTACCATTTTCACTGTCTATTATGCTACACCTTGGAGCCTGATATTCTTCAGTTATTTGAAAATGAGGTGCCAGTTTTTATGGTAGTGGTTCTCAGTGTTCTACAAATGCATCTGCTTCTTTGGTTAGTGTTTTCTATTTTGTTGTATTCAAATATGATTAATTTCAGAATCGTGAACCTCTGATGCCATCTCCACAATTTATCAAATCTTACTTCAGTTCTTTCACGGATGATATAATTTCTCAGCCAATGCTTAAAGGAGAGAAGTCGGATGAAGATAAAGACAAGGAAGGGGAGGCTTTAGAAGTGAAAGAAAAGTAAGTGTGTCTCAAGCATAGTATCTGCTTCATGCTTTTTGTGGGGGAATTGGATTGTGGGCTTTTTTGCTGCCATAGAGCCAAAGTGGGACTCTGAATCATCTCTTTAAAAAAACCTATTTATAGGTAGATATGAATATAATAAAATTATAATATATAATATGATTATAATAAAAATACTTATTTTCTCACACATGTCTATTATACCCTGAATGTTACGTCTTTGGTAACTCAAGGATTTACTGCCAGGAGTCTGCCCAGTTTTTAAGGTCTACATAATATTCTCAAGAGAGTTCCCAGAGAGTCAAGTGGTTAGGTATATTTGAGCAGGGGGACTAACTTAAAAAATGATTGTGTAGGTCAATATCCAGATGTTTCAGTGCAAGGAAGTTTCTAATTTAATTTTTAGAAGTGCCCAAAAGAGTGACTGTCTTCAAGGTTTTTCCTGCATGCCTAGGAAAATGCCATTCTTTGGGTTTGTGTTTACTCTTGTAGAGAGCTGAAATCAAAGTACAAGGTGCTGTGTTTACAACTGGCAGTCAAGTGATGTAATGTAATATATAAGCTATCTAGCCTGCTTATCCATTTATATTTAGCAATACTTTTATTTTGCTGTTGAGGCTAGGTCACCTCTCCAAGAGAAGACACATTGTTACCAACATGACATTTTCTAATGAGTTTGGAAGAAACGGGAATGCTGTTCCCATAGCAAAGTGTAATTTTGCCCCTATAGCATATTGGGATGTTTAGGGGAAAAGACTGCTTTTGGTTTGTATCTCTTAATTTTTCTACCATTATTGGCCACCTTTTAAGGGAGGATACTACGCATAATTGTGCCAAGATGTTCTGATTTGTGTTAGTTGATGAGCAATCTCTTTAGGAAAACTGTAGATGGGAAGTAAATGTTAAGGATGATGCCAATAATTGCCTCTTCTGATGAGGAAGTAGTCCTTATGCCAGAAAAATGACAACGAAGTTTTAATCCCATTATTCTAAAAGCTACACTGGGAGGTGGTTGGACATAACTGTCTCACCAGAACACTAGCTGGAGTTGGTCCTGAGTTTTTAAATTCTGCTTTACTCTGAGCCTTAGCTTTATCAATTTTTGAATGGAGAGATAATAATTACCTTTGAGGGTTATTGTGAGGTTTACAGGTCATGTTTGTAAGCATCTAGAACTTAGATTCTCAGTAAATAGGAACCATTATTACTTGCAATCTAATTATTTTGTCTTAACCCTGGTGACCTGAGGAGCAAAACAAAGAGTGCAGGGGTATTAGAATGTTTTTTTGTTTGTTTGTTTGTTTTTTTAGAATGTTAATTATGGGAAAGGCTGGCACAGAGTTTCTAAGTTTTGACTGACATAACTTTTAAGTCACTTGCCAATTCTCTCTATTCAGAATAGGTAGCAAATGAAATAAGAAAACATGATTTTCTTACATAATGTGCCTTATATTATTTCTTATGTAATGTGCCTTAAATTTGTGAGACCCCCTTAAAGACTGTCTAGTGTAATTTTCCTTTTCAGTTCAAAAACTCCCTTCCACAAGTGTTCTCAATAAAATCATCCTAGACAGGTGATGATATTGTGGTCATTGCTTTTTAAAAAGGTAAGAGAAGGGTGTTTTCTTTAAGTCCTGTTTGATGGAAGAGTCTGCTGCTTTGATATTCCCACCTATTCATTCTGAAAATGATGGGCTTCCCTGATAGCTCAGATTGTAAAGAAACTCCCTGCAATGTAGGAGACCTGGGTTCGATTGTTGGGTTGGGAAGATCCCCTGGAGTAGGAAATGGCAACCCACTCCAGTGTTCTTGCCTGTGAATTCCATGGACAGAGGAACCTAGTGGGCTGCAGTCTGCTGCTTTGATATTCCCACTTATTCATTTCAGGTCTGTTCTTCTAGGTGAAATAGCACAACTTCTAGATGAGAGCCTTTAAGCTATTCCCTTTGCTTAAGTTCTTGCTTCCTTAATGTTCATTTTTCACAACACAGCTGGAGTAATGTTTACAAAGTACAACGCAGGTCACCCCTCTTCTCTTGGGTTCTGTGACCCCCAAGCACTTGATTACTTTCTCTTTCTCTGCCCTTTCTGCTCGTCATAAAGTAACTGCTGAGTGCCATCCGTGCGCCACAGATAAGAAGGTGAATAAGACGGGATCCTTTCCTATGTTGCATTTCAGTGTCATTGGCTTACTGTTTCATGTGTCTAAAAGTTGAAGCCTAGACAATAACCCTAGGTTTCTGCCATTTTCTCTGCCATTTTCCTTTTTAAAACCCTATCTCCAAGGCAGCAAGAAGATCCCAGTCTATATCAAAAACCCTAAGGTGCTACCCCCACACACCCCCACCACCACCTCCAGTCCCGCACTGGCTGGTTAACTTGTTAAGGGGGAAAGGACACTTGTTTACCTCAGGTAGACTGAGTGTGGCAAGGTTCAGCATTTGATCCTTTCTTAGTAATTTTTTATGCTCATTTTATTAGTAATAAACGATAAAATTTGTAATTTCCTCTGTTCATTTTATTTTCAGTTCTGGATACTTAAAGGCCAAACAGTATATGGAAGAAGAAAACTATGATAAAATCATAAGTGAATGCTCAAAAGAAATAGATGCTCAAGGAAAATACACGGCAGAAGCACTGTTACTACGAGCTACTTTCTGCCTGCTCATTGGCAACGCCAACGCGGCCAAACCAGATTTAGATAAGGTCATCAGCTTGCAAGAAGCTAATGTGAAGGTACTTTTAAAACTGTGTGTGTGCATGTGAAAAAAAATTAATAATAAAAATGAGGCTTTTAGGTATGTTTTGCCAAATTTTTAGCATTTCAGTTGCCATTCTCCAAAAGACTTATTTTTTGTTTTGGAAGGAAGTACACCTAAAAATGATTGAATTGGTGCGGTGAAGCTGAAACAGAGATATCAGTGATAGTGACCTTTAACTAAGAAAGGATTGTTTTTTCTACAGCATCTTTTGGCTTCAGCTTCCCTATGCAGCTTCTGCCTACCGTATTGGACTATACTTGGGTAGGAGTAAGGGTGATGTAGCAATACTATAGATAATATAAATAACTTACAATGTGTCATAACACTATAAATAACATGTAATATGTAGTATAAGAATATACAATGCATTTAATAAAAATAAGCACATTTAATGTATTCTGAGAGTTTATTTACATGAGGAAAAAACCAAGATCTAAAAATATATTGTAATATAGAAACATACCAAAAGTTTTTGCAGTTGTGTGGTTGGAACAGCTTTTCATTTTCAAAGTGTTCTTGTGTATATGCAGTTGTTTTCATAATTGAGATTTGGTAGGGATCTGTTAAATTATATGAGCCCTCTATTTCAGCATAATAAGAACAGAGGTTGGCCACCAAAGTACTGTTGGTTGATTAACATCTCTTTTTCCTCACTGAATTAAGTAAACTCTGGCTTCCTTCACCTCCAAAAGAATCATTCATGTATTTTGTGGAAAATGAAAGTTGTTTTCAAGGCTTAAGTATTTGCTAGCAAATTTTATCTTAACTTGTTGTAAACAAAAGTAATTTAAACTGAGTATTTGTTAAAAGTCCTTTTCAAAATGAGATTTTCATTCTGAAGATAGCCTTGTAATAATTCTTTATTTCCTGATAATTATAGATATGTTCTGTTTTTTGTTATTATCATGGGGGCGTTCTTATTTGTTTCATTGAGGACATTTGTGTGCTTTTGCCTTGAAAAAAATTTGGAGAAGAATCTTATTTCTTTTTCCTGATCATGACTTTGTTATAATGGCAGGTAGTAATGTACTTACCATGCCATGTACAAAAATGAGCTCAAAATGGATCAGAGACCTGAATGTAAGAGCCAAAACTATAAAACTCAGGAAAAAACATAAGGAGGAAATCTTCAGTACTTTAAATTAAGCAGTGGTTCCTTAGGTGTGACGCCAGCAGCACAGATGACAAAGTGATGGTGGGGGGGACTTATTCCACAGAATGGGAGAAAATATTCACAAGTCTTATATCTGATAATGAGCTTGTATGCAGACAGTATTAAATCATCTTTATAAGGCAACAATAAAAAGATAGCCTAATTTAAAAATAGGAAAGGATCTGAGTAGACATTTTTCCGAAGAATATGTACAAATGACTAATAAGAACAAGAAAATATACCCAGCATCATTAGCCCTTAGGGAAATGTGAATCAAAATCACAATGAGGTGTAACTTTATACCCACTAGAATGGCATAATCAGAAATTTGGACAGTTAAAAGTATTGATAGAGATGTGGAAAAAATTGGAACTCTCACATATTGATAATAGGAATGTAAAATGGTAAAATCCCTTTGGAAATTAGTGGAGGGTGGTTTCTACAGTTACCATGTGACCCAGAAGTTACTCTCTTAGGTATATACCTATGAGAATTTATGTCAAGACAAAAACTTGTACATGAATGTTCTTAGTAGCATTATTCGTAAGAGCCAAAAAGTGGAAGCAACTCAAATATCCACCAGCTGGTGAAGAGAGAAATAGACTGATTTATCTATACAATGGAATATTATTCAGTCCCTAAAATAGAATGAAGTACATGTTAGAACTTAGATGAACCTTGAAGACCTGCTGTTTGTGAAAGAAGACAGACACAGAAAGGCCACATAGTTTACGATTCCATTTGTGTGAAATGTGTGGAATATACAAATCCGTAGAAATAGAAGATAGAATGCTGGTTTCCAGGGACTGAGAATTAGAGGTGAAATAGAGAGTGTCTGCTAATGTGTTTGAGGTTTCTTTTGGGAGCAGTGAAAACATTTCTAGTGCTGACTGGTTGCACAACATTTTTAGTCATATACTAAAAATGACTCTTACAGTATGTGAACTACGTCTCAAGAAAGCCATTATTTTTTTAAAAAAATTAAATTAGAATAAAAAGTAATGATGAATCTTTCCTCATTTTGGGTATATAGCTTCGAGCAAATGCGCTTATCAAAAGAGGTAGCATGTACATGCAACAGCAGCAGCCTTTGTTATCTACTCAGGATTTTAACATGGCTGCCGACATCGATCCTCAGAATGCAGATGTTTATCACCACCGAGGACAGGTAAATTAATTTTCTTAAGGCATTCTGATCCTTGAGGGGTTTGATAGCATTTTTGAGAATGTCTTAAAGTTTTCTTAAATCACTTATGATAGCTGTGAACAAAGTATCAGGGTGGTTTAGTTTGGGTTGACATTTATTTAGTTCTATCTTGAACTTTTGTCCTGATATTTACTTGTTAAAAAAAGAGAGGGAAGAGGAAGGCTGCAAGTGTTGGCTTGCCAGTTCAAGTTTGGTTTTTAGGCATTTCTGCTTCATAGGTTTTCAGTGAGTAAAGCATTAAAAACTTAGTGACAAATTAAAAAAAACTTGTAGTGAGCATTTTGAGTTAACACTTAGAATCAACAGAATGGTTTTTGTAGGCATCTTGTAAGGAATTATTAACCTGAGCTATCTAGACAGTATCACAAAAAATCTCTTCTGAAGAGAATTTTATAACTCTATGCATATTTGGTTTTTAGTAAAAATTCATAGTGAAGAAAACAGTTCCCAATTTCAGCCTCATCTGGAAAAACATGGCTTTATAAATCTGTTTGTGTGATGTGGCTTCTTGGAGTGCATTAGAGTGGAAAGTATGGACTAATCCATATAATAACAGAAAAGTTCAAGTCCTTTCTAATGGAAAATTTTACCTAATATTTCTGTCTGGAGCATCCTAAGAAGTATCGAGATAACCTTAAAATTCTTGATATTTTGATCCTTACTGGGTGTATCTTAAGATTAATATGAAATGTAATTATTTAATGCTTGATTGATCCCTCCTTTAAGTTTGAAAGTACAGAGATACTTCATATTCTAGAAGAAAAATCATTTAAGAGTGATTAAAAACTGGTAGGTTTATAGTGCTTTTTAAAAAAATTGAACACTAGTTCTAAGTTTTAGCACCTTTCTTTTAAAATTATAAGATTCTGATTCACTGTTTCTAGAAAGTAATTCTATAATAATAATTCCACACTTAGCTTTTTGCTGATTGTGCTAAAAGTCACGGTACATGCTTAACTGGTGTAGTTTTTGTTTTGAACCGCACTTATCTGCGTACTTTTTTTCCTTAGCTGAAAATACTGCTTGATCAAGTTGAAGAAGCAGTAGCAGATTTTGATGAATGTATTAGATTAAGACCTGAGTCTGCTCTGGCACAAGCTCAGAAATGTTTTGCTTTGGTAGGTTCTATTTTCTTTTGTATTTTCCTAAACATCAGTATTTCCCATTGTTAACAAAAATGAGTATCTCATTGTCTACAAAATCTTCTGTTTTTTCCTTCAATCTGTGACAAACAGGGAGAAAAACATGTCAGCTTAAAGAAATAGAAGTGTTTATGTTACTTGAGGTACTGCTGCAGTATTTCTCTGGGTTCTTTATTTGGTTCATCTTGATAGATGTTTGTCCCTGATTTTATGTGCCCCCAAAACAACACTCTTCTCCCTACTGTTTACCATAAGCCAGTACAAAGAACAAAAGCACTTCAAGGAAATAACTTGGCAAACATGACACCATATAACACACCTCTCATTTCAACTTTGTAGAGCTATTCAGAAACACAAAGTTGAAAACCAGGTAAAATAAGACCATTTCTAATGAGATGAGATATTTCCAATTAGCCCCATACCCTGAGTCCTAAAAGAATTTCCTTTTAAAGAAAAAAGTCAGTTTACAAACAAGTGAAAATGTTAACAGATGAAGGATACTATCATGCTTTTAGTAAAATGATAATAAATTTCATTGAGTTTAATATTCCCCTATTTATGTGCAAAGTTAACTTCAAATTAGTCTGTCTTCTAGGATATTGAGCATCTGGAAATTGTATAGTGGCGATGAAGCCCTAATTGTACAGAGCCTTTGAATCCCTGCTCTGCAGATATTCCTGTGGAACCCTTTTAGATGCAGCAAATTATGTTAGCAAATTACCTGCTTTTCTGGAAATATTTATGTAATTTTGTGTGACCATTATAATATGTTAACATTTCCTGAGTCTTTGAGTTCTTGATTTGACAGGCCTATTTTGACTTTTTACACAGTATCGCCAGGCATATACAGGAAACAATTCTTCACAAATCCAAGCAGCTATGAAAGGTTTTGAAGAGGTCATAAAGAAATTTCCAAAGTGTGCTGAAGGCTACGCATTATATGCCCAGGTAAATGTCATTTTTCGTATTTTTTCAGTTGCCAGTTCTTCTGTAAAGAAGTGCATTTATATCCTGAATCCTAGAGTGGAAATCAGAAAACAGTGCTCTTGTTGCAGCTTTTGTGGAAGCAAACGACTTTGTTCCTGGTTCCCAGGATGGTCCTGAATCACCTCAACAGGGCTTCCTTTCTGTGTTAGATAATTTGAAAACTGTGGCCCTAAACTTGTAACCTGGGGAAGCTTTAATAGAGCATTTCCCTCATGTTTTCATTTGGATTGGATTTATAAAAATTTAATTACTTAAGGAAAATTTACTGTATGCAATTGGTAGGGAAAATGTCCTTGGAAACAGTTTTCTTTCTATTTGATTACTGTCTCTTAAATGGTTAGTCTATAACAGCTCATTTTAATCTATGATTTGTCCAAAATTCTTGAAGCTTTCTTTGATTTAGGATTGAAACTATGGAAAATTGGATTTCAATTTGCATTATTTTCACTTGTAATCACAGTTTGAACTCTTTAAAAGTTTAACTTTAAACCATCCATTTAGATGAAAATGATTAGCTTCTTATTCCAACAGTTAAAGAGTTTTCCCTCCAACTAAATGATATCTGAATGACTGTTACTTACTCTTTAAGTTAAAAGCTGCTTATGGTATCTCAAAACCCAGCCATCTCAAAATTCTATGTATTTTGTCTTTTCTTTTTAGCCTAAAGAAATTTGTCCCTCCTTCTTCCTTATCCCTCCAAACATCACAGAAACAGGAAGCACTTAAAAATGACCATCCATGGTAGACTCCTACCTCCAGACATCCTTAAGGTTTATTGTCTTGTTTCTGATTTCCTTCATGCTATCATAGGTCAAGTTAAAAGAAGATTTCCACAGGGGTAAAATTTTCTTTTTCAGGGATTATTGAGAGGGACCGTGAGAAGACTGATTTCTGTTGGATCTATTCTGTAAAAGTCCTACATACCCCTGCATAGGGATTGAAATTCTGGGATATGAAATACAACCCAGGAATTCTTTAACCTCAGTTTGAAATCTTATCTGAATATTCAGTCTTTAATTCCTAGACAGAATGACAATTAAAAAAATGATACATTGGTTGCTGACCGCATGCTGTCTTAATTAATTGTGAAAGCATGTACTATCAGTTCAGTTCAGTTGCTCAGTCGTGTCCAACTCTTTGTGACCCCATGGACCACAGCATGCCAGCCCTCCTTGTCTAACACCAGTTGCCGGAGTCTACCCAAACCTATGTCCATCGAGTCAGTGATGCCATCAACCATCTCATCCTCTGTCGTCACCTTCTCCCCATGCCGTCAATCTTTCCCAGCATCAGAGTCTTTTCAAATGAGTCAGCTCTTCGCATCAGGTGGCTGAAGTATTAGAGTTTCAGTTTCAACATCAGTCTTTCCAATGAACACTCAGGACTGATCTCCTTTAGGACAGACTGGTTGGATCTCCTTTCAGTCCAAGGGACTCTCAAGTGTCTTCTCCAACACCACAGTTCAGAAGCATCAATTCTTTGGCACTCAGCTTTCTTTATAGTCCAATTCTCACATCCATACATGGTTACTGGAAAAGCCATAATCTTGACTAGACAGAACTTTGTTGGCAAAGTAATGTCTCTTTTTTAATATGCTGTATATGTTGGTCATAACTTTCCTTCCAAGGAGCAAGCCTCTTTTAATTTCATGGCTGCGGCCACCATCTGCAGTGATTTTGGAGCCCAAGAAAACAAAGTCAGCCACTGTTTCCACCTTTTCCCCACCTGTCTGCCATGAAGTGATGGAACCAGATGCCATCATCTTAGTTTTCTGAATTGAGCTTTAAGCCAACTTTTTCACTCTCCTCCTTCACTTTCATCAAGAGGCTTTTTAGTTCACTTTCTGCCTTAAGGGTGGTGTCATCTGTATATCTGAGGTTATTGATATTTCTCCCGGCAATCTTGATTCCAGCTTGTGCTTCCTCCAGCCCAGCATGTCTCTTGATGTACTCTGCATATAAGTTGAATAAGCAGAGTGACAATATACAGCCTTGATGTACTCCTTTTCCTGTTTGGAACCAGTCTGTTGCTTCCTGACCTGCATACAGATTTCTCAAGTGGCAGGTCAGGTGGTCTGGTATTCCCATCTCTTGAAGAATTTTCCACGGTTTGTTGTGATCCACACAGTCAAAGGCTTTGGTGTAGTCAATAAAGCAGAAATAGATGTTTTTCTGGAACTCTCTAGCTTTTTCGATGATCCAGCGGATGTTGGCAATTTGACCTCTGGTTCCTCTGACTTTTCTAAATCCAGCTTGGACATCTGGAAGTTCATGGTTCACGTACTGTTGAAGTGTGGCTTGGAGAATTTTGAGCATTACTTTACTAGCGTGTGAGATGAATGCAATTATGCGGTAGTTTGAACATTCTTTGGCATTGCCTTTCTTTGGGGTTGGAATGAAAACTGATCTTTTCCAGTCCTGTGGCCACTGCTGAGTTTTCCAAATTTGCTGGAATATTTGAGTGTAACACTTTCACAGTAACATCTTTCAGGATTTGAAAGAGCTCAACTGGAATTCCATCACCTCCACTAGCTTTGTTCATAGTTATGCTTCCCAAGGCCCACTTAACTTTGCATTCCAGGATGTCTGGCTCTAGGTGAGTGATCACACTATCGTGATTATCTGGGTCATGAAGATCTTTTTCTGTGTATTCTTGCCACCTCTTCTTAACACCTTCTGCTTCTGTTAGGTCTATACCATCTCTGTCCTTTATTGAGCCCAAGATATCTTTGCATGAAATGTTCCCTTGGTATCTCTGATTTTCTTGAAGAGATCTCTAGTCTTTCCCATTCTATTGTTTTCCTCTATTTCTTTGCATTGGTCACTGAGGAAGGCTTTCTTATCTCTCCTGGCTATTCTTTGGAACTCTGCATTCATATGGGAATATCTTTCCTTTTCTCCTTTGCTTTTTGCTTCTCTTCTTTTCACAGCTATTTGTAAGGCCTGCTCAGACAGCCATTTTGCTTTTTTGCATTTCTTTTTCTTGGGGATGGTCTTGATCCCTGTCTCCTGTACAATGTCACACACCTCCGTCCATAGTTCATCAGGCACTGTGTCTATCAGATCTAGTCCCTTAAATCTATTTCTCCCTTCCACTGTATAATCATAAGGGATTTGATTTAGGTCATACCTGAATGGTCTAGTGGTTTTCCCTACTTTCTTCAATTTAAGTCTGAATTTGGCAATAAGTTCATGACCTGAGCCACAGTCAGCTCCCGGTCTTGCATTTGCTGACTGTATAGAGCTTCTCCATCTGTGGCTGCACAGAATATAATCAATCTGATTTCAGTATTGGCCATCTGGTGATGTCCATGTGTAGGGTCTTCTCTTGTGTTGTTGGAAGAGGGTGTTTGCTATGACCAGTGCATTCTCTTGGCAAAACACTATTAGCCTTTGCCCTGCTTCATTCTGTACTCCAAGGCCAAATTTGCCTGTTACTCCAGATGTTTCTTGACTTCCTGCTTTTGCATTCCGTCCCCTGTAATGAAAAGGACATCTTTTTTGGGTGTTTGTTCTAAAAGGCCTTTTAGGTCTTCATAGAACTGTTCAACTTCAGCTTCTTCAGCATTACTGGTTGGAGCATAGACTTGGATTACCATGATATAGAATGGTTTGCCTTGGAAACAAACAGATCATTCTTTCGCTTTTGAGATTGCATCCAAGTACTGCATTTCAAACTCTTGTTGACTGTGATGGCTACTCCATTTCTTCTAAGGGATTCTTGCCCACAGTAGTAGATATAATGGTCATCTGAATACTATAATATGTAAAATTTTATAGCATGTACAGAAATTAAAGTGAGACGAACACACATAATTTTATGAAGTATGTACTGAATAGTACACTTGGGTTTAGGCCTTATATTTAATTTGAAACAAACCAGAAGGTAACCATCCTCATCACTGAAATGAAATTCAGAAGGGCTTTTTTGGTTCAGATTTCTATAAGCAGCTAAAAGAGCAAAGGCCACTGACTAGCTTTTAAAGAAACCAACATTAGGAACAACTCTTTAGCAGAGGTTTCATAATTGTATATTTCTCCGTCATTGTGTTACCGTCACAGTAGGTGTTGCCTTCCTTGAGCATTGTCTTACCAGCACTAGCACTATTACAAGTTTGTTTGCACTAAATTTCTATCTTTTGGTCCCTCTTCTGATGTTTGCAACTTTTAATTTATATATATTTAGAGAGAGTTATATTTTAGTTACATAGTGTGACTTTTTGCTTTGAACTCTAAAGCTTGAGCTTAGATGTCAGCTAACTCTCAGAGTTACAGTTTGAACATGGTCTGGTCTCCACATAACCAAGCCTTCCATTTCTGCCATGGGATTTGCCTTAAAAGTTGACTGTAGCTTTTTTTCTTTCACCAGTTATTTTTAAGGATTGACTTCGATAACCGTTAACATACCTACCTTAATTTATCCTTCCAAATAAGTATTGTTTTTAAGGTTACCATTTTTAATTAAGTTTAATCCCCTAAGCAGGACTTCCCAGGTGGCGTCAGTGGTAAAGAATCCACTTGCCAATGCAGGAGACATAGGAGCCTCCCTGGGTCGGAAGGTCCCTGGAGCAGGGCATGGCTCCCCTCTCCAGTGCTCTTGCCTGGAGACTCCCATGGACGGAGAGCCTGGCGGGCCACAGTCCCTGGGGTTGCAAAAGAGCCAGACACGACTGAGCAACTAAACAGTCACCCCAAAACAGTAATTTGGTAATGAATAATTAAATGAAGTAACTTTTAATGGTTAATAAGCAACATAGTTTTAACTCCGTAGGGATACAGTTACCTAAATTTAACTGAAGTATCTCTTCACATAGGCATTAACAGATCAACAGCAGTTTGGCAAAGCTGATGAAATGTATGATAAATGTATTAATTTGGAACCAGATAATGCCACAACGTATGTTCATAAAGGGTATGTATTTTTGGGGTCTGTTTGTTCCAGTAAAAAAGCTAAATTGCTTGCATAGTAATAAAATGGATTTGTTTTGCTCACTGAAAAAGGGGACTGTGGTGGAGTCAGTGAGCTAACTGAAATTGAAAAATTTCTTCATTGCTATGAATGCTCCACTGTTACTTTTTTTAACTTTTTTTTAAATAATATTTCATTATTTAATAATTACTAAACATGCTACTTGCACTCTAGCTTAAGGATTTCAGTTCTGAACATCCTGTCAAATATTACTTGTATCAAAATAAGTGACACATAAATAGGTTTTTCCTGTTCTAGTATCCTTTTTTTTTTCTGTTCTAGTATACTTATTTGTAAAACTTCACTTAAATTATACAAATTAAAGCATTAAGCTGTGCAAAGCAAGATAATAATAGACCCTAGACCATTATAATAAGGAATTTAGACTTCGTAATAAGGAATTTAGACTTCGTAATACAAAACCAGTATAAGTTGAGGGAGAAAAAACTGATTTGGTGCTGATTCTGTACTGTTTTAGATTTTGTTTTTCCTAATTAATTGAAATAAAATTCATTGAGAGCAGAATTGATACCTGGGCCATGGTCACATCTGACTGCTGTTTTGTATTTGCAGTTTACTTCAACTTCAGTGGAAGCAAGATCTGGATAAAGGTTTGGAGCTTATCAGCAAGGCTATTGAAATTGACAATAAATGTGATTTTGCATATGAAACCATGGGAACTATTGAAGTACAAAGGTAACTTCTTTTTTTTTTTTCCAAAGGTAACGTCTATAGTCTGTCCTTAGGAAAGTTAGGGAAGCTACACAGATATTTATCTTTTTGTTTTCTTCATTATATATAGCTTATTGTCATTATTCATTGAATTTTTAAGTCCTAACATGCCTTTGGAGGCACAGTTCCCTTGAAACTATACTACTTTAATTTGCTTGGTTTCATATTTTTTCAATTTAAAAATCAAATTATAAAAGTTGTTTAAGTCAAGCATGTGCATTAAAAGGGAAGCTTGATCTTTCTTTAATAGTTGTCCTATGGTTGTGCCTCCTGTCACCTGTATCATTTCTGTTGGAGGAGGAAATGTCTGCATTGTACGCAGGCAGTGCTCTGTAGCATAAGGCTTGGCGGCCACATTGCCCAAGGACATAGATCTTGCTACAGCCAAGTGGCTGAGCAGCTTGCACCATCACCTCCGAACCCTCAAGTTTTCTTTCAAATCAGGGAGTTGGGTAAGATTTTTGCAGTTCTGACTTTTTCATAACTTCTTCATTTCTGTAAATGTTTATCCAGAGTTGCACTTGAGATTCACCATTAACAGATGACACCTGCGTATTCCATAGACTTTAATGTAGTATGCCATCTTGACACTGGCATTGTCATCCATTTGAGCATGTACTCTAGGCCAGGTACTGAACTTTAGGTGCTTTCCAAATATTTCAGTTGATTTTTATCTGTCTTTATGAAGGTTGAGATTATATGGTCCTCAATTTAATTGAAGAGTATAGAAACTGATTCCTCAGTCAGTCAGTTCAGTCGCTCAGTCGTGTCCAACTCTTTGCGGCCCCATGAACTGCAGCATGCCAGACCTCCCTGTCTGTCACCAACTCCCAGAGTTTATTCAAACTCATGTCCATTGAGTCAGTGAAGCCATCCAACCATCTCATCTGTCGTCCCCTTCTCCCACCTTCAATCTTTCCCACCTTCAGGGTCTTTTCAAATGAGTCAGTTCTTCATGTCAAGTGGCCAAGTATTGGAGTTTCAGCTTCAGCATCAGTCCTTCCAATGAATATTCAGAACTGATTTCCTTTAAGATGGATTGGTTGGCTCTCCTTGCAGTCCAAGGGACTCTCAAGAGTCTTCTCCAACACCACAGGTCAAAAGCATCAATTCTTTGGCACTCAGCTTTATAGACCAACTCTCATATCCATACATGACTACTGGAAAAACCACATCTTTGACTGGATGGACCTTTGTTGGCAAAGTAATGTCTCTGTTTTTTAATATGCTGCCTAGGTTGGTCATAACTTTGCTTTCAAGGAGCAAGCCTCTTTTAATTTCATGGCTACAAGTCACCACCTGCAGTGATTTTGGAGCCCAAGAAAACAAAGTCAGCCACTATTTCCACCTTTCCCCCATATCTGCCACGAAGTGATGGAACCAGATGCCATGATCTTAGTTCTCTGGATGTTGAGTTTTAAGCCAACTTTCACTCTCTTTCACTTTCATCAAGAAAGTGTTCTTTAGCTTTAGTTCTTAGCTTTCTGCCATAAGGATGGTGTCATCTGTATATCTGAGGTTATTGATATTTCTCCTGGCATTCTTGATTCCAGCTTGTGCTTCATCCAGCCCAGCGTTTCTCATGGTGTACTCTGCATATAAGTTAAACAAGTAGGGTGACAACATACAGCCTTGATGTGCTCCTTTCCCGGTTTAGAACCAGTCTGTTGTTCCATGTCCAGTTCTGTTGCTTTCTGACCTGAATACAGATTTCTCAGGAGGCAAGTAAGGTGGTCTGGTATTCCCATCTCTTGAAGAATTTTCCACAGTTTGTTGTGATCCACACAGTAGAAGGCTTTGGCGTAGTCAATAAAGCAGAAGTAGATGTTTTTCTGGAACTCTCTTGCTTTTTCAGTGATCCAACGGATGTTGGCAATTTGATCTCTGGTTCCTCTGACTTGTCTTAATCCAGCTTGAACATCTGGAAGTTCACGGTTCACGTACTGTTGAAGCGTGGCTTGGAGAATTTTGAGCGTTAACTTACTTGTGTGTGAGATGAGTACAGTTGTGCGGTAGTTTGAGCATTCTTTGGCATTGCCTTTCTTTGGGATTGGAATGAAAACTGACCTTTTCCAGTCCTGTGGCCACTGCTGAGTTTTCCAAATTTGCTGGCATATTGAGTGCAGTACTTTCACAGTAAGATCTTTCAGGATTTGAAAGAGCTCAACTGGAATTCCATCACTCCCACTAGCTTTGTTTGTAGTGATGTTTCTTAAGGCCCACTTGACTTCACATTCCAAGATGTCTGGCTCTAGGTGAGTGATCACACCATCATAATTATCTGGGTCATGAAGATCTTTTTTGTATAGTTTTCCTGTGTATTCTTGCCATCTCTTCTTAATATCTTCTGCTTCTGTTAGGTCCATACCATTTCTATCCTTTATTGTGCCCATCTTTGTATTCCTAGACTGGTTAAATTAATAAGGTGACATTGTGAGCCAGTAGTAGAAAGAGGAGATGAACCCATATTTTGCTGATACCCAAAGTAGCTAATCTTCCCACCATCACTTGTCAGGAACCAGTAGGAGTTGTCTTAATAACATTCAGTCACTCCTGGAGTCCTCTTCTCTCTCAGCTCCAGAGGAAGCAGAATATATGTGTGTGTGTGTGTATAAGCTGATGAAAATTTTTGTGATTCTTTTGAACCATTCTGACAGTTGCATGTAAATATTAAATTATTTCTTAATTTCCAGTTAATGTGAATAAAATATTCCTATGCTAGAATATGATTGGGTAGTAGTTCCTAATCTTTTGAGCAAAGATGTGGACTTTTCCTAGAATAATGCATATATGGAAACTCTCTGCACTCAAGTTGTTCATAGAGCCTGGGTTAAGGGCCCCTGATTTATGGAGTTTGATGAATTGTGTTTGAATTGTACTTTAAGAAATCCACTCTAAATCCTGCTTTACAAATAGATAAATGTTAATGAATGACATTGCTGGTTAACGTAAGATTTAGCGTATCTTCCGTGTACCTGATGTCTGAACATGAACTGTTAGGTTTTAATTGTCTTATGCACCATATCGATATGTGTAGGAGATTGACCTCAGTCACCCAGCGGCACATTTTACTCCTTAGAGGGTGGCTGTCATGTGTGTGTGTGTGTTAGTTGCTCAGTTGTGTCCACCTCTTTGTGACCGCATGGACTGTAGCGCACCAGGCTTCTCTGTCCTTGAAATTCTTCAGGCAAGAATACTGAAGTGGGTAGCTGTTCCCTTCTCCAGGAGATCTTCCCAGCCCTGGGATCAAATGCAGGTATCCTGCATGGCAGGCAGATTCTTTACCATCTCAGCCACCAGGGAAGCCCATTATATATATAGTGGGGACTTAATATTTAATGTAAGATTATAGGCATGTATGCATGTATACATATCCAATACTAGTTACTTTAAAACAGCTCTTGCTTCTTAGTAAGTATATAAAGCCTAGTCACAGACTGTAAGAGGTAAATTTTATGTTTTTTGACAAAATGTATTCATCCATTTATTCAAAAAATGGACAATAGTTACCAAGCATTGCACTTGGTTCTGGAAATTGAAAGGTGTCCATTAAGGATGTCCTTCTGCTTCACTGACTGCGCTAAAGCCTTTGACTGTGTGGATCACAACAAACCATGGAAAATTCTTAAAGAGATGGGAATACCTTACCTGTCTCCTGAGAATCCTGTGTGCAGGTCAACAAGGAACAGTTAGAACTGGACATGGAACAACTGACTGGTTCCAAATTGGGAGAGGAGTATAACAAGGCTGTATATTGTCACCCTGCTTGTTATAGCAGAGTACATCATGAGAAACGCTGGGCTGGATGAATCACAAGCTGGAATCAAGATTCCCAGGAGAAATATCAATAACCCCAGATAGGCAGATGATACCACTCTAATGGCAGCAGAGAGGAACTAGAGAACCTCTTGATGAAGGGGAAAAGAGGAGAGTGAAAAAGCTGACTGGAAACTCAACATTCAAAAAAGCTAAGATCATGGCATCTGGTCCCATCACTTCATGGTGAACAGAAGGGGAAAAAAGTGGAAGCAGTGACAGTTTTTATTTTCTTGGACTCCAAAATCACTGTGGACAGTGACTGCAGACATGAAATTAAAAGACACTTCTTCCTTGGAAGGAAAACTATGACAATCCTAGAGAGCATATTAAAAAGCAGACATCACTTGGCCAACAAAGGTTGATATAGTCAAAGCTACAATTTTTCCAGTAGTCATGTAAAGATGTGAGAGTTGGACCCAAGAAAAGGATGCGTGCTGAAGAACTGGTGCTTTTGAACTGTGGTGCTAGAGAAGACTCTTGAGAGTCCCTTGGACTGCAAGGAGATCAAACCAGTCAGTCCTAAAGAAGATCAAACCTGAATACTCATTGGAAGGACTGAAGCTGAGGCTTCAGTCCTTTGGTGACCTGATGGGAAGAGCCAACTCACTGGAAAAGACCTTTGATGCTGGTGAAGATTGAGGGCAAGCGGAGACTGAGGGCAGCATGGGATGAGACGGTTGGATGCCATCCCCAACTCGGGCACAAACAGAGGCTGCTAGCATGCTGCAGTCCACGGGGTCGTAAGGAGTCGAACAAGACTTAGCGACTTACCAACAAAGACCCGTGTAAGCATATATTCATCTGAATGTGCATAGAATGATGATAGAATTACGGGAACAGTGGAGCGGGAGCAGCCAATTCCTGCTGGGAAAGGGAAAAATATTTTTCATGAAGATATTCTAGTCAGTATTTGAACTGGGCCTTAGAAAGGTGAGGATTTGACTAGAATCAGGCAGAGAAGCAATAAGTAATCTGACCATTATTAGCGTGAGTGTACTCAAGGAGACCTGTGTGACTGGAGTAGAGATGTGGGGCTGACGATATGCTGGTAAGGGTTGCTCAGATCTGTGAAGGTAAGGTCCCCGAATATCCTTAATGTTCTCTGAGCTTACATCACTGCTTTGTAAAGGAGCCTAATGATGGAGTAGAAATGAGCAGAATTTAGGAACCAGATGTGATTAGGATTTTAAATAAGTCATTGAATTTTTCTAGTCTCACTGTTCTTATCAGTAAACAAAGGCCACAAGTAACATAATATAAGCACATATAGTATTCAGTCATGTCCAAAGCTTTGTGACCCCATGGACTGTGGTCCACCAGGCTCCTCTGCCCATGGGCCCCTCCAGGCAAGCATACTGGAGTGGGGTGCCACTTCCTACTGACCCAGCAATCAAGCCCGGGTCTCCCACATTGCAGGCAGATTCTTTACCTCTGAGCCACTGGGGAGCCCTGCATTTGTAATGGTAGCTAACATTCATTGTTTTCTATATGATAGGCATCATCTTGTTATAAAGAAGAATTTTATTAGTATCATGGTTGAAACTTAGAGGTCAGCTCCATGTAATTTTTGGTTTTGTTTTTCTTTTAGAGGAAACATGGAGAAAGCCATTGACATGTTCAACAAAGCTATTAACCTGGCCAAATCAGAAATGGAGATGGCTCATCTATACTCACTTTGTGATGCTGCCCATGCCCAGACAGAAGTTGCAAAGAAATATGGATTAAAACCACCAACATTATAAAATATGGGGGAAGGAAAATGACCCTCTTTTTAGAAGTTTACCCCTCTTCAACTGAACCCTGAAGACACTGTTGTGAACTGTGCTGAATGGTGGGACTTCGTGTTTCCATTTGTGCTGTTGTCCTCTGTTACAGCTGTCTCATGTTTAGGTGTTGTGGGAGTGGCTGTTGAAGAAAGCTTGCGGTGTGGCAGCTTTTATTCCCTGTGCAACAAGAGCTTAGAACCTGTTAAAGGGATATGAAAATAAAGTTGCAAAGAGTACAAATGACAATTGGCCATGCAAATAAAAACTTTGATTTGTTGATTTGACTTTTTTTCTGAGGGGGTGGGTGGGTAGGTGAATATGTGCTGGTTGATTTAGTCTTTTTGTGTGTGTATGTGTATATATATGAATATTCTACAGTTTTACAGCATGTTGGTTTTTTAATTAACATAGTACGTGCTGTAAAATAGGATTCTTTTAGATTTGGTTAATCCCTTTCAGTTGATTCCTCTGAAGGAAACAAAGCTTAAGTGGGGATTTTGTTTTTACGGCAGCAAAATTGAGATCCTTTAAACCACTGTCAGCATGCACAATGCCTCTGATTCTGCAGAATGTTAGACACGGTGGCAACGCTTAAATCTTTTGACCCCCTTCAACTCTAATAGATAATGTACATCATTCTTAAAGTCTACAATAGCTCTTTTTCATAGTAAATCATGCAGAAGCAAGATATTCTAGTTGATGTATGTGCAGAAGACTATTAGAGGGAGAGCAGACCAGGCAGGAGGTAAGATGAAGTGGAAATGTGTTCATAATTGCCCATGGTTATTTTCTCCTATTTAATAGGTACTACTATTTAATAGTGTACTTTTTAAAGAAAACAAAGATTGGTTATATAAAGACGAAATGTAATAAGTAATTAGCTTAAAATTTCTAGTGAAGAAACTGTGGCTAACAGTTCAAAAAGGATGAAAGTGTCATGTCTAGAAGCATAGTATTTCCTAAAGTGACAAGTTTAATGCTTCTTAACTATGGCTATGTGTACTTAAGGGATTTTGAGCCAGTATTTTCAAAGATGCTGAGGACATGTGGCATGTATTTTAGTTTTGAACTAACTCTGGTCTTTAAGCATGTCCAGGTCTGTGCTGGGAATACCGATGACAGGTTTTTGTTTTATTCATTTTACCTTTACCTCACCCTCTTCCTTAGCAATCACTTTGTTTTTTCAACATGTCACTTTGATAGATCATCCTTTTCTTATATGCTGGGTTTTTCTGGTGGGGGGTGGGGTGTTCTTACAGAATGTCCTGCTTTGAGATATTTATGGTGGTTTTGAGATATTCAGGGTGGGAAGAGGTTTACTTAGATCTGAGTAGAGTAAAAGAGCAAGCTGTCAGTTGTACTTTTCTGGAAATGTTATCTAATTAGAGTTTACATTTTTGGGAGTAAATGAGCATTTTACCCCTCTTTAAAAAGGTGCTTTATCCTATTGAAACCAAAAAGATTTTGTCAAAAATGCTATCTTTTTAGAAGCTACTAGAAATGACTCCCTTCCAAAGTCAGAGTCTGGAAAATATTGAGAGGCCTCTAACTGGTGGGGGCAGTGAACATAACTTAAGATGGCTTGGATAATGAACAGTGGGAGAGCTCTGCACTGTAGTTTTTAAATTAAGCACCTACTATAATAACCCCTGAATACAGAAATGCTCTACATCTCTGAACAACCTCTGGCTTAAAACAGTTTTTATTTGCATGGCTGTATTTACATTAACACTGATATTTTCTTCTCTCTTCCTACCCCTTGGGGTTTAGTAGAAAACACACAGAGGAAACAAGCATGGACCATTCGATACGATCATTCCAGATCCTCATGGACTTTTGCCTGTTCTGAAAAATATTTGAAACTGCGCTGAAAGCTGCATCTGTCTTTTCTTTTGTAAATGACCTCACATGTAAATTCACCAAATAAATATTACATTCAAGCTTTTCAATCTATTCTTTAAATAGGAGGATAGGCAGTTTATTCATTTGCCATAGTATTCGGTAAGTTCAGTCATTCTCTTGTGGGTTCAAGCTAACTTTGACATATTGGACATGTTTGATTATGAAACAGTAAGTTTTGGGTATTAAAGATGGGAGTTTCCCATTCTTCCTCCTGGTGAAACAAAAGCTCTAAGGGACAGCTAGTAGAACCAACTTACTCTTCTACCTTTACCTTACTTGCACTGCACAACAGCCTGGAAGGTTACCAGGCAGACCTGAGCCCTGTGACTCAGCTTATCCTCAAACTGGTTTCACCAGTGAAGGCTTTTTTTTTTCCCCCACCAGTGAGTCTTGATCAGTCTTCAGCCACTTGTTTTGTGGTCTGAAAAATCCTGCCCTCCTTAGGTGTCTGTGGTATGAATAAGACGTCTCGTGCAGCATGAAGCAGCTCTGGCTTTATGACAATTCAAGTAGATGGGATGCACATTGTAAATGGTTATTTTTCCCAGGAGAGCTCAACTAATTGTCAGCTTCTTAAGGCTGTTCATAAACAGGAAGACTGTATAATTACCCAAAAAATTTTTGCGTAATAATGAAAGTAATTACTCAAGACTGTCCTGAGTGAATTGAGTTGTAATGGTCTTTGTATTTATAAAGAAACAATATGCAAAAATGCTTGTAAAAGCGATTTCAGACAGAAGAGAAGACAGCATGACAAGACAGAGATTAGAGTGCTGTGGCCCCAGGCCAAGGAATGCTGGCAGCCACCAGGAACTCAAAGAGCAAGAATGGATTCTGCCCTAGAGCAGAGCGTGGTCCTCCTGACACCCTGATTTCACTCCAGTGAGACAGATTTTGGACTTCCGGCCTTCAGAACTATGAATAAGTTTCTGTTGTTTCAAGTCACTAAATACGTGGCAATTTGTTATGACAGCCACAGGAAAGCAGTTCTTTCACTATTATGTACAAGGCAGCCTGTAATTGAATTATTTTTGAGTACTGCGAAGTTCAGCATAAGTAAGCATGCGCTTACACTTTGGCCAAAGGCATTTCAGGCAGAGTGAAAATTTAGTCAAGAGATGGGGCATTTGTGCTGGAAAATTCATGCGATCATGGTAAAATCACCAGGTCAAATGCCTGCTCTTCATGAGCTTAAAAAAATTGAGACGCCTCTGCCAGTACCAAGAAGAAATACCAAAAGTAAGATGCTATTTCCAAATGTTTTTATTTATTGCAAGGAGACAGTGCACAAATTCTGTTGGGGGTCGAGAGCTTGTATTAGTAGGCCCTTCTAGACTACCTCCCAGCCAGCTGGGACTCGAGGGACAGGAACTATGCCAACCAAAGGAGGGAAGTTCAAGGCGAGAAGAGGCTGGGGCAAATATGACAGCCGCCTTTCAGAGGCCAGGGACATGACTCGGTTTCTCCAGTTTGGGGTTTTTTTTTGTTTTCTTTTGCTAGCACTGGAATACACCATGAATCTGCAAGTGCTGTCCTAGAGGCCACGGGAGGGTTTGGCAGATAAGATTTCTATAGCATAGAGGGGAGGAAGACCACAATTGAAACAGACTCCTGGACAGCGTCTGGGGGACTAGAAACTAGAGCAAGGGGGGACCAGATAGAGCAGGTGGGCGTCTGCACAGACGACCCATGGTCTAAACTATCCACGAACCACTATATCAAGCAAATATTACCCAATTTTAATTCTCAGAATACCTGCTTTACATCAAGAACTGGAAAGGGTCAGATTGTGCCCTACTTACTAAGTAGTTTCATGAATGCTAGCAGAAGATGTGAGACCCTAGGGCAGAGATGATGGATCTACTTACTTAGAACACGCTAAGCAGCGTGAGCTTCATGTTCACTTTGCACCCGCGCCTCATGGAGGAGACCTGGAGTAACCTAGGTGGAGGCCACATGTGGAGTGGGTGTGTGTCACAGCTGAGAAACTCTAAAACTTCAGAAGCCCAAATCTTAACTGGCCACTTGAAAACCTGCCTAACTTTTGCATCAGCGGGAAACATTATTATTATTGTGCTGGTTTATAAACAGACCTGTCTAATCTTATGCTCCAGAAAAGACAGTTTCTGTCTTCTAAAGCTGTTCACTTTATACAGACATCTTTGAAAGGACAGTCTGGAAGAAAAGCTATCAGTGCCTCTGTTTGCAAGGCCTGCAGAGACCTGTGGAAAATGGGACTGCTCATCTCTACATGTTTTTAGCTTTTATGACTTCATCTCAAGCTTAACTTTCATGAGTTTAGAGGATTACAGTGTCTATTCTGGGCAACAGCATAGTGCAAGTAAAAGTATTATTGGCCTGAGCATCTGGTGACTTTGGTTCTACAGCTTTCCACTGGCTGTGTGATCTTAAGTAAATGAAGGTCTGATCCAGTTCTAAATTATATGAAACTACCCTATGTCCTGGATCGTCCCAAATTAGAATCCCTTAAATAAGGGAACCACTCCAGAATATGAAGTTGTTTCACCAGAAAACCTGCACATGTCATGTACAAGCACAAAACTGTAGGAATGAATTCACTTCAACTCAACACCTAACTGAGAAACCCATCGGTGGCTCCACGAGCTCCAGCACTGAGCTCCTTTTATGGCACAAAGTTTTGGTGCCATAAAATCAGATACAGTTATATACACTACAGCATGGAAACACAGCCAGTAATAACCTCGCCAAGCCTCGAGTAATAATGAAGATTTAGGTCAGGAACTTTCTGGAAGATGAGGACACCACAAAACAACACGGAAGACTAAGTGAAGGGATATTAGTCTGAACTGAAAGTAAGTCATCCAAGTTGAAGTTGAGTCCAACAAGATGCAGCTGTTTTTTTTAAGCTGGTGAGGAGACACCAATAGTAAAACTACATATGAGGATTACCAGCATATGGTCTTGAATAGACCATGTATGTAAATGAGATTACATCAGCACAAAAAGTACTAAAATTGGGAAACATTAACATCTAAGGGACAAAGACGGCAATGAAAAAGTGGTCAGAGAGGCGGTTGCATTTCAAGAGGCCA